TTATTAAAATATTATAAAAATTAAAATATTATATATATTTTAATAACATGATTTTTCTAATTGTCCCCTCCTTTTTTCTTTCTCCTTGGGCATTGTATGATACAGTTTGGAGGAGTGAATCAAGGTGTTTTTTTTGCCCCACACCTATTTTGAGTGTAGATTCTGGTGTTCCAAGATAACTCCATTCACATGATTGACTTCTTTAGATCATTTATTCCCTCAGGGGTTCGGGGGCTGGAAGTATAGCTCAGTGATAGAGCAGGTGATTAGAATGTGTGAGGCTGGCCACGTATGGTGGTGCCAGCACTCAGGAGGCAGAGACAGAGGCAGGTGAATCTCTGTGGGATTGAGGCTAGCCTCGTCTACATAGTGAGTGCCATAGGGAGACCCTGTCTCAAAAAGACTGAAAAAACAACAACAAAAAAAACCAAACCAAGAATGTGTGGGGCCAAGGTACAGTCCCCAGGACCATCTCCCTAATCTCCTCACTCTTCTTAACCCACAACAAAACAAAAGCCGAGCTTCTCAGGTATCTAGATACCTAAGCAGCTTCTTAGCTTCCCACAGATTTCTATTTTATCATCCTCATAGCACTTGTCACTGACCTTTTCTTGTGTTACTACCCTGCAGAATATACCTTCCTCTGTACCTAGAACATAAGCTCAATTATTCTAGGTTTTATGCTGGCTTGATTACATAGGCATAGTTAAGTCTTTAAACATTGGTGATTAAATCACAAGTCAGGAGAGATGGGGTTGAAATTTCCAACCATCTAATGATGTGGTTGTTTTCACTGGTGACAAGCTCCTATCCTGTAATTATGCAGGGTTCCCACCAAAAGTCAGTTCATAGTAAGAAAGAGATACTATGAGAGATAAAAATAGGAACTAAGGATGTAATTTAGTTGGTAGAGAGCTTGCCTAGTATGTACAAAGCCTAGAGTTTGATCCTCAGAACCACATAAACTGGACTTTGAGATGAATCCCAGCACCTGGGAATTACAGGTAAGATGATCAGAAGTTAAGTGTCATCCTCAGTCACATAGCAAATTTGAGGCCAACTTGGGCTACATAAGACCTTGTCTCAAGTATCACACTATAATCCTACAGAATGTTCTAAGAGTAAATGTGATAATGAGTGAAATTATGCTTTAAAATATTATTTTTATTTTATGTGTATGTGTGTATTACTTGCATGTGTAAGTGTACCCATGTCATGCATTGCCCATGGAGGTCAGAAGAGGTCACTGGATCCCCTGGAACTGGAGTTACAGACAGTTGTTAGCCACCATGTGGGTGCTGGGATTTGAATTGAAGTCTTCTGAAAGATCAGCCGGTACTCTTAACTGCTGAGCCATCTCTTCAGCCATGTGTGAAAAATTCTTAGTGATGCTTGATAACAGATTGTGTGGTTCTATGGGAAATAGTGTTTCTTTTTCTTTTTTTTAAGTAGGCTGATTCTTGGGATTTTTTTTATCAGTGACAAATAATTTTATAGAAATTTAATCTTTCTTCTATAAAATATGTGATAATAAGGATGACAGTAAGCAATGAGGGTCAGGCATTGTGGCCCATGCCTTTAATCCCAGCATTCCGGAAGTAGAGGCAGGCCAATCAAGGCCAGCCTGGTCTGCATAGTGAATTCCAGGCTACCTGAGGCTACAAGGAGACCCGTCTTAAAAATACTAAAAAGAAAAAGATAAATATTGTCAGATGGGAAGAAGTTCTTGATTTCTTATTTTCTTTTAGTAGATGTGTAATGGTGTTAGAAAGCAGTACTTGTTGATTAAGTATTTCAGTTGGATTTAATGTGGTCTATCAATTTGATTTAAAAAATATTTCTTTGCAGTTAACAGAAGATGAAATTGCAACCATTCTAAAATCCACATTGAAAGGATTAGAATATTTGCACTTTATGAGAAAAATACACAGAGATATAAAAGCTGGGAATATTCTTCTCAATACAGAAGGGCATGCAAAACTTGCAGACTTTGGAGTGGCTGGCCAGTTAACAGTAAGTTGACACTGATAATTCTGGATACATTTACTATTTTTTGTGTTTGATTGTGATGGAACTTGAATAATTTGGGGGAGTATGGAAAGATAATTTCCCTGTTTTTGTGGAGATGAAGCCATATTTTCATCTATTTGTATTTGCTATATAAGGGTCACTATATATGAAAATATATTTTGTCATCAAAATAGTTAAGCTTATAAAAGGGAAGCTACATTGGTTTTCTTGGTACACTGGGTTTTGTAGCATTTTTTTCAGTTTATTAT